ACAATAGTGAAGAGTTGAGAGAAAAAATGCTATCCACTTGCAAAGCAAGGGGAAGTGGGAATCGAAGCATCACAGGCGGTAAGAAGGAACTGAGAGGGCATAGGGCCAGGGACACCTAATATACCGATGCATGAGAGTGGCACTCCACAGGGCACCACTGTTGACCCTCTGGATACTGCTAAGGCAAAAATCTCCAACAACTGTTCACCTGGGCATGCACACACCTAGAAAGGAATCGACCTGAGCAAGCACTCAAAGAAGAACCACATCTCAGGGTGAGGGGTAGTTCTATCTGCAAGTATACCCAGTCCTTACTTCTCTAGTGAGACTGGCAATAACAATAATTAATGCAAACAATGATGGTGGTTTTATTAAGTGTATTCTTCTTCATTAGGAACCAGACTGAAACTATCAACTCATTTCACGTTAGCTTCCACTCATCATCAAACCTAGCAAGCCACAGGTGAAGAGTACCACGTGCCACTATCAGTCTCCTGAGTCAGCCAAGCCTAACCCACCCCCTCACAAATTTACCTTCAGTGCGTCTTCATGCAGATATAAGAGTTTACTCAATTCCAGGATTAGGGCTTAGAATGCAAACACATTGTACCTTAAGGCAGGGACTGTAGCTCCAATCCTGCAAACATTTATGTATATGCTTACATTTGAGCACATGAGTATCCTCAATTAAGTCAATGGGCGTCCCTGTGTTTAAAATTGAGTGAGTATTAAGTGTTTGTAAGATCAGGACTGGTGTCTTTACTCTTGTCTTGTACTGGGCCAGACACCATATCTGTATTTAACCGATTAGTAATAAATAATAATAATATTTAAGTAGTTTCTGTGCCCACTTGTGCTTTTATAAAATTTTTGGAAAAAAACATCATACCTATAGTAATTAAGGAAAAACTAAATAAAATGATATTTTCTCCAAATTCACAGAAGGCAGTAATTCTACTGGCTTTTCAGTTTTTCCACTTGGGACCATTTGCAATTCTGTCAATAAACGAATGTGAAAACATTCACATCTGAAATGAAACAAGCTACATTTTTTTTGACAGTTTTGAAAAAAAAATGTTTTTCAACAGTATTTTTGTGAAATGCAGATTTATTGTTGGTTTTTTAAAATGCATTTTTAACACCCACACACACACACCCACGCATACCCCCCACACGCACGCACGCACAGAGTCCTAGGCACTTTTGTGTAATTGAAATTTCGCAATTCCAAAATTGACAATTTAATAAAATATACTACTTATACCACTCCAAAAATACCCACCAGGAGGTATGAGAAAAAAAGCCCTCCATAACATGCCAAAGAATAGCTCTTATGTGGCACTTTTAATCAGTTTATCTTGAAGTGATTAATGAAGGTGATCAGTATCATTATCCCCACTTTACAGATGGGGAAACTACGTCACAAAGATGGGAAGTGATCTGCCAGAGGTCACTCAGCATGCCAGTGAGAGCTAGGAACAGAACCCAATAGAATCCTGAATCACAGTCCAGTGCTCCAATAAATTAAATTAAAAATAAAATGAAATAATAATAGTAATAGTAATAATAATAATAACAATAAACCCATTCATCCCTCAGCCCACCCTCTTCCCGAAAAGTCTGGAGGAATGATGGCCTTTGCAGTCTAATTGGATTGTTAACAAATCTGGGCACTAGCAGACCAAAGGGAGGAAAGAAGAGCTGCTCATGGAGTGTCCTGTCATTGGCTCCCTCCTGTGTGAATGGAGGGAGCCACATCTCACGTGTCTCCACCGATCACAATTGCCAAAAACACAAAATGTTTTGTCATGCTGTGAAAACTGCTTTTCACTTTGTAATGCCACTAACTGAAATGTGTGTAGGAGTGGAGGATCTACCGTATGTGAAGATCAGAGTTCAGTTTCAACTCCGTATCACAAGGGGCTCAACCAGATTCTTACCTATATGATTAGGTAATGGGCTCTCATAAAAAGATAGGCTAGATACTGAAATTAATGCTAACTTAGCTATTGGCCTTCATTGCAGCAGGATTAGTCACTAACGATTGAAAGGGAAAAGAAATAGGGTAGAACAGTTGAAGGCACCTACCAGTTCTTTAAAGGTGAATCAAATCTATTTTTTAAATAAATACAAAATCACTGTAAAGAACCAGAATCATTAAGAGAACAAGAACAACAAATTAAATTATTTCAAAATGTATTTGTAATTTTAATGTTTCAACTCATCAGTTTTAAAATAAAAATTACGAATACATTTCAAAACAATAACATGTAAAATAAGTTTTTCAATCTGTTACCTGAAAAGCCTGAGATTAACCCATCAAGATTCTGAATTTCTCTTGATACAGTTCATCAACTCACATCTAAATCACTGAAAGAATATCCTGGCAGGTAAACAAACTCAGTTCACCTTTAGTTTCAATATTATTATTTGTCATTTTTAAGTCTACATATGTAGATGGAGGAGGCTAATGAACCAAAAAGCAACCAGTTTCCTTATTATTAAAGGGCATGTGTTTATCAAGGCCGGGGTCACTTCTCTCATGTTTCTTCGGCTGGCGCCTATACTGCCATGGTTAGAACAAGAAAACAGGTGGACAGGCAAAGTGGAAGTGCAGCTGCCGCAGAAGATGACTGCAATAATGATGTTGGCATCACTAATTCTAATTAGTACACAGAATGCAGAGTGGAGGGTCATCTTCATATCATCTGGAGTGGGCATGCTGCCTTAGAAAATGGGCATAATGCTATTAAATTTAGCTTGTTTAATTGTTTAGCTCTGTTTACTAATGAAACTGAACACAAAGAACATTCAACCTTCTCTCCCCTCTCTACAACCTTTTTCTGAGGACTTGAAGATGGTAATGCCAGCTGTGAATTTGTGGTGGCTTGGATTAGTATGAGATATACAGTTTTCATGACTCAGTGCTGCGATTATTTCTTACTGGCAACACACATCGTAGTTCTTGCTCCCCCAGACAGCTGTCTGTACAGCTCAAACAGAGTGGATTTACATGGCTTCCCAAATTTTAGCTGTGACTAGTACTTGACTGCTTTTAGCTAAACACCATCAACACTGATTTGTGTGGCTTTGTTGCCTACACTCACCACATGATGCTGCACAGTACTTCTTCCTGTAGACCTCACACTGGGTGTTACCAAGATAATGGCCAAGAAAAGCACTGTACTGTACAGTATCGACCTGAGAAAGGAAGAAGTAAAGCAGCACTATACTATGCAGGGAGAATTCTTGCAAGATGAAGAGTTGTAAGACGACCTGATACTGTATTAGCTAGAAGAAAAGGAGGACTTGTGGCAGCTTAGAGACTAACACATTTATTTGAGCATAAGCTTTCGTGAGCTACAGCTCACTTCATCGGATGCATTAGCTAGCTCATTCCCAGAATAAGAACTGTCCAGCTTTGTTTTATACTCCTCTATACTGATCTCATAATTTACAGAAGAGGTCACTAATTGAGAAGGAGATAATCATGGAGAAACAAATATATATTATTTATAAAATTCATTCTGGCACCACCGGCTCAGTCCCACGTTATGAAATTAATGGGAAGGGAGGGTGTTCAGTACCTCAGAACAGAGGCTCAGCACTTTATGGATTAGAACACAGTATTTCATTCAGTCTTTCCCTAATTTAACCCTACAAAATTCCTTCCATTCACTTGGGTATTCTTTAGTTAAACACTGTGATAAAGACTTCCCAGCCTCTCTCTCTCTCTCCCTGCCCTGCCCCCTTCCCTAAACCTCCTCTGACAATTGGGAAAGCCCCCTCCTTATCCAACAGCCACTCCTCAAAAGTAATGAGGGATACTGGGGAGAGGGATGGATCCAGGAGAGGGAGCTGCTGCGTATGGAAGATGGAAAGCTCATTTACATGAGTTCTCCTCACATTCAAACTGCTCCACAACTTCCCAGTGTGCAGGATTGCTCCCGCTGTTTGAAGGGTCATTTTCCTCTTTTAAGAGGTTGGCCTATTGCTGAGACAGTTTGTGAAGCCCAAGGGGCTTTGGATAATTTTTGCAAGAGCAAGCTTTTGGTATGCAGAGACGACATTTACCTAAAGCTTATCCACTTCTTTGGATTTAAAAAAAAGAAAAAGAGAGAACTCTAGTCATTTCCTCTCAAGGAGAGATTTCAAAGTGTCTGGCCATGGGGCAATGCTATACTCCATGTATTTCAGCGTGGGCTTAACTAATAGACAAGTAAGTTCACCGTGTTCAACCTTTAGTATTTGATTTTACTGTTGGGAAAAATTTACATATGAATAGTTTCCAAGACCATTTCAAAAATTAAATCTGTGTGAATTAATAATCTAACCATATGCATAGAAAAGGAGATGTCTGCATAAAAACAGACCATAAAACTTCTTTTGTTTTCGTTGTTTCCCATTTACTAAGTCAGACAAATGGCTTCAATATTGCTGTTCCTAGCCCTGAAGGAGACCATTAATCAAATTATTCCAAATAAGAATAGAAAACAATACAAATGAATGGACAAGAATAGGTATTCATATCTGGGCCTTCGAAGGGAAAAAAAAAACAGCCATGATTATTTTTTCAGAGAAGAAATTGCCAAAAAGTAGAGAAACAGATGGCTGAGAACACTAGATACCACATGAAGACATATTTTCCTACAAAAACTAATGCACAACATTAATTACCCAAACGACACCGTATATTATGGGATGACAATAATGATCACGAATAAAAACTGACAATGGTGTCTTATTGGTTCTTTTAAAGAAAACAAACGCAATTATTACAAGAAGATGTGTATGCCCTACAAATATACCCCACAGATCATAAACAGTCCACAAATACACTTTGCTATGCTACTCTGACTTTCAGCACTGTCTCATTACTGAAATTACGAAATTACTACAGAACTCTAAAACTGTAACTGAAAGGCTCCTCTCATCACATTTTCCTTAACAGAACCACTCATTATTTTTGTAAGAACTTATTCAGCTAAATAAAACTTTACCTTAACTATTTCCTCAATGAAACAGACATGTGAAACAGGGTCTCTCTTCTTTGTCAGTACTTTTTGCAAGTGCTGCACCTGTAAGAGAATTTGTTTCAAGGATAATTTAGGTTTTCTAATGTGGTATATGCAAAAATTGCACTAATGTAGAAGAGGAAATATAGGGACTGAATACCTGTGCACAGGCTGCACAGATCTGATCCATGAGTTTCTCCATGTTTGTCCAGAGGGCTGCTCGGAAGGCTGCAGTGTTTCCTGGCGTTGGCATAACAGCTCGGCCAGGGCCACCTAAACATATTTTGAAGGCAACGTATCAACCCATTTCAGGATTTAAAAATCAAGACCAACATTGTCAAGTGTGAGTGTGTAAATGAGGTTAAAACATAAAAATCCATCAATAGGTACTTAAAGAAGTGGCCTGATTTTCAGAAGTGTTGAGCTACAAACAGCTTGAAACACCAGCTGTGAGAGGTGTGAACAGCCCCAATCATCTCAATCAAGTATTAACTCTGAAGTCTAGTGAGGATACTTTAAATGTCAGCATTATTAACTACTTCACTGCTTCTTATCTCAGCAGAAACACAAAGCCAATGTACTTCTCCACTGTTGTAAGATGTGCTGGCAGGGTGACGAGGGACAACTGGTTGCTGTCAAGGATATAGGCACTCACCTGAACACTTTGGCCTAAGTGTATTAGAATTACAAAAATAAAACACTCTTTTTAACTGATGCAAATACCCTTAAGCAGCCTTCATCTTCCTTGAGAAGCCATATGCCATTATTATGGTTCCAACACACATGTCTAATCCCAAACTGTGTTGTAAAGGCTTCAAATTAAAATCTGTTATCTACATCAGTTTTGCATTTGTGTTCTTCAATTCTCCATGGTACCACAGCTTAAAAATAAGAAGAGCTAAATTTAATGATGCAGTGATCCCCCAAGTTGGAAACACTACTTTAAGATATTCCCATTTGACAAAAGTGATCGAATACATTGGTCAGATTTGTTCCACTGCTTACAAGTAATATACCAGTCTCTCTGCGGTCCTCTCACAAACGCTCGTAAGGTAGAATCAGATTCACAAAAAACCTTAACGGTTTTCATGATGAATTCCTATGAACGCTTAGCATTTTTCTCCCACATGACTGAGCACAATGCAATTCTGCCAAATGACCAGAGACGGTTACGCTGTAAATTAAACAACATGCCCATACTGTACCTCTTGTAACTGTCTGGGGCGGCTGTGTCAAAACTTTGATATCCAAAGCACTCTTGATATTCTCGTCTAGAGATGCACAGTATCCATCCACTACATTAGAAATGGTATCCTTCAAAGTCCCAAGATTGTGGAAAACCTGAAGTGCTGTTCCCACTTGAGTAGGATTCTGGGGAGATAAGGGGAAAGTGTTAATCTCTAACTGTATAATGGTTTTGTTTACCCATGATGAGATGTCATTTCAAGATTTAAGTTAATGTGCTACAGTTTGCTGGCTCATTTCATTTATCATCCGATGATTGGTCTCCTTACAGGGGAACAGGAAAGAGGAGGAAAAGGGGGAAGGATTGATTTACTTTGATGTTACTATCTCACTACTCAACAATGAGTTATACACAGGGCACCTTCAGAGGGAGAAGAGGAGAAAAGAAAGGAGATGAAAACAATGATGATTATGGCAGTCTACCAGTTACAGATCCAATAGTTCTTGCATAGCAAAATTATTGTGCAATATTGAGTATCGCTATGTCTCGGCTATCTCCAGTTATGAGAGTTTGTAATATGGTACTTTTCTTGTACAGTACCTGCTACACTTCTGTCTTTTAACTGTCAACCTTTGATTAAACATTATCAGGGATTGAAAAATCTACTCCATCACCCAGGGCAAGTAGGGAGCTTTCATAGGTGAATGCCATCAATGTATGCAAAAATCTAAGTTTATTTTTTAAAAATGAACTATCTAGCTCTTATGATTTTGACAATAAGTTTACAAATATGAGCAGAGTGTGGACTAATACCATGCTATCTTCCTATGTCTGCAGACAGACTGCTCCAGTGCCTCTGTTGATGTTCAGAGCTTTCCCTAAATACAACAGCATGAAAACCAACAATAGTCTTTTCAGTATCACTGCTGTGCTTCAGAACTCTTTGGTTAGGAATAAAACGGATAAAAAACCCCATTGAGCTGCAGCAAAGGCAGGTACTGGAGCTATTCAGCTCAGGTCGGAGAACAAAAAAGTGGAGTCTTTGGGAAGGGTAAGAGTACTGGAGGCACCCCGCCCACATCCACACAGAATGCTGCTTCTTCCTTCCTCCATTCATAGGAGATTGGTGGGTGGGGATGCATATTTCAGATACCCACTAGTGGGAGGCGGATCCAAAAATAGTTCCCTTCCATTCTATTTATTCCCAGTGCCCAGGACTGGACTGAGGACATCCGAGGCTCTAGGCACATCCCCACATGGCCCCGTGTGACTTGGCCCTACCCCGTCTCTTCTTGGAATGGCAGTGGTAAGGCCACATAAGCGAAGTCATCTAGGAGACCACCACCACTCCTCTTTGGGCAGGCTGGATCTCCCCTTCCCAAGATCACTGTCATCTTCTGTCCCAGAGGAGGAGGGAGACTCAGCCAGCACCCAACTGAACAAAGGATGATGGGGTGGTAGCAGTGAGGAACTCCCTGCACAGACACATCCAGAGGAATGAATTTCAAAATTCAGACTCCAATTAAATGAATGATGCAGTTCATCCCTCTCAGAGCTATTGTTTCAGGTGCCTGCTGACTCAGGCAGACATCAGTAAAGAAAATAACCTTGAAAATGTGACTGACTGTTTCTTCACAACCAGGAGGGCTGGAACCACAATTTTGAAAAACAAAAGTCGAGATTTTAATGTTGTCAAATTACTCATGGAGTTGAGGCCCCAGGCAATGGAGGAGAGGAGAGAAGCACTGACCATGAACAGGGGATCCCCATATCTTTATGGGTCTGTAGCTAGTAGGATTACTCCTCCGACAATTAGACGTGTGGTAAAATTTCCAAGCATTATGTGTAGGTGGGTTTGAGGGGGTGGGTGAGTGAGCAGGAGAAAATGAAAGATTGGCTGAAAAATAAGAAAAATGAAGCATGGCAAATACATATAGACAGATATTGGAGATGGGGAGAAAAAGAGAAAATATAACGGAGGAGGGTATCAAATACAATAAATGGAAAGGGAAAGAGTGAGAATGAGAATGAAATAGACGCTGAAGGTTACTAAGGAAAAGTCACTGATCTGTAATAGGACTAAATGGACTAAAGATAGAAAGGAAAACGGAATGATAGTAAGTAAGACTGAATAGCATTTGGTGAATAGGTTATTTAATGAATTTTACTAGTGATTGTTGAATAATTTATTCAACAATTTTTGTGGCATTAAACTTGTTCTATAGCTAGTTTAAATACTATTCATTTAATATATTATTCAAGGAATAAGATAATTATCTCTATTTGGGAAGGCTCTGGCAGGAAACTGCAAAGATTTGTAATACTTTTTAGCTGCTGGGTATGGTATATATTAGTTATTGAGAGGCAGGGGACAGAACTACTGAGGTACTCTGTTTTTTTAAATACATCAAAGATCACGTAGAGCAAAGAGCTTCTGTATATGGAATGAATGTATAAATGAGTGTTTAACCAGCCATTTGCACTATGTTACATTTAAAAACAGTATAAAATAGAAACTTAATTGACAATGTTACAGTTAAGTAAAGAGTCCAACAAACAGTACACAGCTGTTTTATTCCTTTAAGATCCAGGAGGTGTGGCCTTGGGGAGTCGTGGCCACATAGGTATTTCATGCAGGTATTTTATCTTGGGTAGCAGGAATCAGGTAAAATATTCAAGCCCTGAAAATAATATACTAAAATCATTTTTTTTCACATTCATTTGCTTCACACAACACTGTTTTCTCTCCTCATAAAGTACTCCACATTTTATTTTCCTCACTAAGGTTCAGAACTCACAGCTGGTGCATCATTAATCCTAAGAGAATTTTACTTTTTACACATAGCTAGTTTCTAAGTTTAAGCATGAGAAGTACAAAAACTAGAGTCTCTCTTGGGAACAATCGTATTGTGGGGAGAGAGAGAGAAAAGTTGGAGGGCAAGGAAAATAAACAACAACTGTGCTAGCAGACTGGCATATACATCTCAGAATTAGAGTGTTTAGCATAGATACATTATTCAATGGAAGCTGGAAAACAGTTTTGCAAACTTCTCACTGCCAACAAGTTTTGCTTTGGGGAAAAACAGGAGGCCAAAATTCTTCCATCTGAGAAACCATTCGGCATAGCTTCCAAATGTTTGTGGATCTCTTTGAGCAAAAAGAGCAGCCCTACTTTTGCCAATGTCTTTACTAGCACAAAGGTATGTTCCCGAAGTACAAACTTAGCTGATCTACACTAAACAGATGGGTTTCAGAGTAGCAGCCGTGTTAGTCTGTATTCGCAAAAAGAAAAGGAGTACTTGTGGCACCTTTGAGACTAACAAATTTATTTGAGCATAAGCTTTCGTGAGCTACAGCTCATTTCATCGGTACTCCTTTTCTTTTTACTAAACAGATGGTCATGCACAACCACATAGCTGGAGTTACAGGGTGGTTATATTCTTTCAAAGTGCCTTGTTCTGACCTCCAAACACAGAATGGACTCTTTGTATTATCTGAATGTACGTGAATGATCAGATAATTCTATTTGTCTGCTATTAATCTATGTTTCTGCTGAGACATTCGTGTCTTAACAGATAACAATAGACTATTCTGCAAGAGATTATCCTAAAAATATTTACAAAAATGTTATAACTTTAAAATAAATCATGGCTGCTGTAACCAAGAAGTTAGGTAACAAATGCAAGTAGTACAGGCTACAGCATTTCGTAGTACATCAGTAGCAAGGTAAAGCCTAATGTGCATGCCACAGCAGTAAAGCAGGTGTTTACAAGTCTCATTTCATTGACCTACATAAACACAAAGCTCTAACCCCACCAACATTTACAGAGCTGCAAAACTCCCACTTGAAATGGTCTTAAATGATGTTAGACGGCAGAAATTAAAGTCCCGAGTTGATCTAAGAACACCCCTTTCTATCCAAACTACTTCCCCCTTTTTGGTGCTTCAGCATATCAAATATGGTAGACATGCTGATCTAAAGTTAAGCTGAGTTATGAATACAGAAGAATCCCAGAAGTCATCAGTTAAACCTGTGAGCCAACTCCACAACTTAAAGAATGGTTCTATAGTGACAGACCCAGATTTTAAAAAGTGACTGGGGATTTTGGGTGCCCAACTTGAGAAACCTTGAAGTAGCCTGATTTTCAGAGGATGGGTACTCAGAAGTTTCTGAAAACAAGGCCCCTGCAAGGTGTTTCAAGTTGGGCACCCAAACATTGAGGCATCCAAAATCATTGGGTGGCTATGTATAAATAGCACCTACCTATCAAGCAAATCTGCTCCCTGCGTGTACCAGTCACAGTTGTTCACTAAAATTAATTTTTACTGTTTTTCACTCCTGTTCATAGAATCATAGAATATCAGGGTTGGAAGGGACCTCAGGAGGTCATCTAGTCCAACCCCTGCTCAAAGCAGGACCAGCAGAGCCAACACAGTTAAGAGAGAAGTAGATGGTACAGCAGAGCCAACACAGTTAAGAGAGAAGTAAATGACACAGAATCGCCAGGAGAAAATAAACATGAAACCCCACGATGGTGTGTTTATGGTCATTTTTCAGAGTAGAACCACATTTTGTCACTCCTTTCCCTGTAGAGATATGCCTGTGCAGGTCTCATGGTGAAATTTTGTTTGTAGTGTCAATTGCAAGATCCCTAAACAAAATGCTAGAGTTTACAATAGAAATTTCCGTACCTGTTACCTCTCTCACACCTTAGCGTCGAATACAGTTTATTTTCTTTTGTTTACTGCCAACACAGCAGCTGACTAAATTATGACTGACAAACTGTAATGTTTATTAAAAACTCATGTAAACAGTCATCTCTCTGGCTTACTAACTGAAGTATGATGGATTTTGCCATAGTTAAGAAACATAGTTTAAATTTACACAGTCACCTTTGACCAGGGGTTCATGAACTTTTTCACACAGTGTGGACTACATCTTAACAGAGATTGTGTCATGGGCCTCCACCTCTCCTCTAAGTCAAGATGGTATTGGCCACCTTTACTATACATTCATGATCAAATAACGTACATCTGCCAACTACAGCAATTGCTTACATGAGAAAGCAATAGTGAATTCTTAACTGTCTTTTAAACCACATTCAGCAAATGGAAAGAGCAGGGACAGCAACCTGTGACCAGGCAGCTCTCTGAGGAAGTGTTCCATGGATCACACTCTGGGAGC